CCTAATTAGCATAAAACACTAATCAATTTTTGATTCGGTCGCCGATAAGGCCTTCAATTTGCAATTCAAAATTAAAAACATGAACAGATCATTTAATGACAAACAGATAGAAATGAAACTTTGGCAACACACTCATACAAATAGATCAGGATTTCATTCTAATCAGTTACTTATCATGCTCAATCACAGTTTAGCACTAATCAGAGGTAATGGTTGTCACAGAGAGAGAGAAGCAGTTTAGTTAGGGTTTGATTTGAGAAATAATATATATATACATTGGTAGTTTGGTCATTTCGTGGGAGCTTGTCCTTATGAATAAAGTATTTTAGAGTGTGGACATAGTATTTTAGAGTGTGGACATTTGGAAATTCAAAATTAAATTTATTAACTGAGTGCCCTAATTTTTAACCTAATTTTTTCATTTAGGCCTCGTTTGGGAAGCGTCCCGTTTAGCCAAAAAGTCAAAAAGTCACTAAAAAAACCAAAAAGCCAACAACCCTTACCAAAAAGTCAAAAATTCTCTTTTCTCTCTACTTTTTGTACATATTTTCGTAAAAAGCCAAAAAGTCATCCCAAACATACTAGTTTTTTTTAGCTCATATTTTAGCCAAATAGCCAAAAAGTTACTAAATTAGCATGTTCCCAAACGAGGCCTTAATAACATTTTAAATTAAATTATAGATAGAAGAGGACATTTAGGGTCTAGGGTTAGGTTTTGGTTAGGAATATGATTTTATTTGGAGAAAAAGATAAAGATGATAGTATTTTTGATATTTGATCAAATATTTTACTTTGATTTGGAATTTTTGTATTGTTCACTCTCAATTTGGGAGAGTGTGGCGTACCTCAATCTCAATTTGGAAGAGAGAGAGAGAGAGAGAGAGAGAAGCAGTTTAGTTAGGGTTTGATTTGAGAAATAATATATATATATACATTGGTAGTTTGGACATTTTGTGGGAGCTTGTCCTTATGAATAAAGTATTTTAGAGTGTGGACATAGTATTTTAGAGTGTGGACATTTGGAAATTCAAAATTGAATTTATTAACTGAGTGCCCTAATTTTTAACCTAATTTTTTCATTTAGGCCTCGTTTGGGAAGCGTCCCGTTTAGCCAAAAAGTCAAAAAGTCACTAAAAAAACCAAAAAGCCAACAACCCTTACCAAAAAGTCAAAAATTCTCTTTTCTCTCTACTTTTTGTACATATTTTCGTAAAAAGCCAAAAAGTCATCCCAAACATACTAGTTTTTTTTAGCTCATATTTTAGCCAAATAGCCAAAAAGTTACTAAATTAGCATGTTCCCAAACGAGGCCTTAATAACATTTTAAATTAAATTATAGATAGAAGAGGACATTTAGGGTCTAGGGTTAGGTTTTGGTTAGGAATATGATTTTATTTGGAGAAAAAGATAAAGATGATAGTATTTTTGATATTTGATCAAATATTTTACTTTGATTTGGAATTTTTGTATTGTTCACTCTCAATTTGGGAGAGTGTGGCGCACCTTATGTTATTTTTAGTAAAAAATAAGACTGTAGTACTTTAGTCTAAAATTGTAAGAGAGTTCCTATATATATATGAATTATAGGAAGGTAAAGTAATTTGAGAAAGGAAATTTTGTTGCATTTTTTTTATACTCACTAATATAGAATTAATGTATTTATACTATTATATATATATATATATATATTTATATATTGTTTAATATATAAATAATATATTTATTATATAATTTAAATAAAGATAAGCAAGATGAGATTGATAAGCTTATTCGAGTTTGAACTCGGCTCGTTTACTCAAAGAGTGTAATATTAATTTGAGCTTGAGCTCTGCTCATTTACTAAACTAGCCAAGCTGAGCTGTTAATGAGCCGAGCCGAGCCTATTCATGAGCAGTTTGGTTTCATTTGCAGCCTAGTCACTATCTTATGTGAATTTTGTGGATGATTTTCTAATTTTTTATTTTTGAGCATTTATTCATAAATTTCTATTCACCAACTTATATTCCACTTAGTTCAAATTATTTTCTTATATTTCAATAAGTCTTATAGATGACATAGTTATCAAAATATCCCTAATAATAATATTCACATCGACAGTGTGAATGTTCCGTGATATGAACATTTATACATCAATGTGAATATTCACATTGTTAAAATATGAATGTTCACATCATTAAGTTTCTAATCATTTAAAAAGTATTTGTAAAAATAAAATTGTTTCATATAATATTTTAAATATAAGAATTATGATTTGGTGGATCAAATGTTCAAATATCAAGACTTATTGAAATAGAAGAATATGTTATGGACGAGGACTAAATCTCTCTCTCTCTCTTTGTTTTTTTTTTTTTTTTTTGGTACATGGAAATACTCTAAAATATTTTATCATGGTTCTTTTCAGTAATGATCCTATGTTTTTTATACTCACTATCTTATGTGAATGTTGTGAATGATTTCTAATTTTTTTTTAGTACATAGAAAGACTCTAAAATACTCAAACACGCATTAATATGTAATAATTGAGTATTATTTTTATTAGAAATGTTGTGAAATATTTTATTATGGTTGTCTGTTCGGTAATGATCCAGCAGTCAGTAATTGATATAAGGAAGGATTGGTATCCATGGAAGATCATTGCATTATTACACCACAGATTTGTGAGATGGACATGGAATAGCTTCATTTTTTTTCTTCCTACTATAGAAAGGACGTATAGCATCCGAGGGCCTTGATTATGGGATAATCAATTGTCGGTCAGATTTAACCTAACTCATAGGAAGAGACTAACCATCGGAACACACAATGGATCTCACCCATATGCCACAACAAGAGGTAGAGTCTCAATCGGAGTACAACACAATAAACTGAAGTTATTCTAGCCTTGCTCTTCCGTGTGGAAAGCAGGTGCATTATCCACTTATCACTCCCGATTGTTGACATGGAATAGCTTGCCAAGAGATATTGTGCAATAATGATAGAATTATCATTTTTTTTTTCTATCATAATCTATTTATTATTTTATGTAGCAACACTCATTGATTTAAAGACACCCATCACTCATACTTGTTGTAAACACAACTTTCGTATCTTGCAATTAAGACACGAAATAAATGCACAAAATAATTAATTTTATTGATTATAATAAATGGATACAATTCTCTATAGTTTGCTCTATTACAAAGAACAAATCCTCTGATTCGATCTTCGAAACGGCTGTAAAAGTTTGTTGTTGAACTAGACAAGTTGATGAATTTCTTCAAGTCTTCGAATGGAGAAACTTGGAGAAGAAAGGCTTGATCAAGGGCTTGAACGGCTTGATCTCGAATGAGTCTTGAAATGATCTCTTTGAAAAGAGAGACCAAATTTGTATTTGTAACTTGAAAGAATTGACACAAATTTGGAGTGCTTGATAATCTTTTCTTCTAAGTTTGAGAAACTTTAGAGAGAATTTGGCAAAGTCGAGAGATTGCTTAAGAGATTGCAAGACCATTAGCTAAAGAATGTGTCCTTCTCCTCATGGTGAGAGCCTCTATTTATAGGCTTAGGAGAGAATGATCAAGTTTGGAAACTCCAAAATTGCTTTGAATTTCCAAGAAAATAATGTACAGGGGTATAAACTATAATTTGCTCCACTGTTATTAATGACACTAAACATCTTGGTATTTTTTTATTAAAGTCTCATTTGGACCTCTTCACTTTCAATTGTGATAATCGATCTCTAACCCAATTGCTATTAAAGTATTTCTATTTAAGACTAAAAATTGGATCCAATTTTCAAGCCCAGTGATGTGACAATCAATTGAGATATTAAAGAAAATACTCTTTCTCATATATATTCTCTAATAATCAACCAATCATATCACTTATACATCTTTAAATTAAAAAAATGAGTTTAGAAAGCGGGTTTATATATCATTTTCCTTGATGTTACTAGTGCTGATAAAACTTATCCGGTAAGCTATATGAAATATTGTTCTCGTCTCATTAGCAGCGTACAATTTTATTAAAATCTCACTTTTGTTCTTGTATTTTCTCTAGAATATGATTTTGGTCCTATCATTTTTAATTTCTTTTGTCAATCTCATTGACGGTAGATTACCCTTATACTTTCATCAAGATCTCACTTTAATCTTTGCACTTTCACTAAAATCTTACTTCGATCCTTTCATTTTTAATTTTCATCAATCTTGTTAATGGCATACTTTGTTTGGTTTTAGAGTTTTTAAAAACAATGTTTGAGTTGTCAATCTGAGTCTTTAGTTTTTAGTCGGTTTTTTTAATATTTCAATCAAATAGGTTTACATTTTAAATTTACTTAATTTAGATACACTTATAAAATCAATATAAAAATTCAATATATTTTCATTTTTTTTATATTTATTAAAGTTTTTTTTTCTGAAATATTTATTTGTAAGTACATTTAGATTAGTTGCATCTGAAAAATAAAAATAAAAACTTGACTACCATTTAAAAAGTTCACTAAAACGATAAAGTATCAAAAATAAAAGAGCAATGGTAGAGGGCCACAAAAAGTGTGGCTCAAATGGCTTAAAACTGTCAAAACGACGTCGTTTTAGGCATAAAACAACGCAAAATGATATCGTTTTGACAATTTTTGAGCCATTTGAGTCACACTTTTTGTAGCCCTCAAACATTTTTCAAAATAAAATACTCAAAACCACTAAATTAAAGTGAAAGGAATTTCTGGTCACAATTGAAAGTGAAACGACTAAATTAAAATTATAGTGAAAATACAAATATGTTAAGCATAATTAATCCAATAAAAATGTAGTCATTATAATATTAATGACATTCAATATTTGAAAAATAAGTTATGCTAGGGAGGATAAATAAATTATTAATTTTTTATCAAATCTCTCACTGAGATTCACACCCATATAATTTATGTACGTCTCACACCCATATAAAATGTTTAATAAAAAATTTAATAATTTATTTAGATTCATAATATTTTCCTTAAAAAATAAAGACAGAGAAAGAGAGAGAAAAGCCTAAGATTTAAAAATATTTTACAGTTCAGCATTTGGACAATAACATCAGTATTCAGTACTAGCGCCCACGACATGATGATGAATACAGATATATCAGACAAGTCAGGGGACATGGAGATTGAATAAAACAAATCACCCTCCACAAGTCCCCCACTAGCATCAGACAGACCAGACCAGACCAGACCACCACCCAACATCACTTGCAGAGAATGTTGTCCCTCCCTCCCTACTTTAAAAAAATTCTACAGGAGCTTTGCATATTTATCATATCTTCATTCCCAAACACCCCCCAATTAAATAAAAAGAAAAAAAAAAAAAAAAAAACAATCTAATTCAGTTAATGGAACTCTAATGAGAGATGGGTTTCTTGTTAGTTGGTAATCAGAATCTTCAAGAGAGGGAAGAAACTAGAGGAAGTACCTGTGACGAGCTTGAATGGTGTTGTTGTGATGTACTGTGATGATGATGGGGATGATTGAGCTCTCTCTCTTTGTTCTTAGCAACAATGAGTGTGATAAAACCGCCATTCTCTTCATCCTTGAGAAACACAGATGTTGAAGGAGCTATATTAGCCCCTTCTTCCTGGAAAACCCTACGAATCTTATGAACCTTCTCCCTCTCAGCTTCTTCCATCAATTGTTCTCTTCTGTGAAGCTTGTAAGTCGAGTCCGAGCTGTAGCGAGGTCCCCCGCGGGCTTGTTACAGTGGTGATAGCCATTGAGTCGTTGCAGGCGTCATCAACAAGATTAAAGCACTCCCAATATCGTGCCGAATGCGCCCTTAGTGTTTCTCCCCACTGGATCTGCATTGCCTAGAGAGAGTCGGCTTGTTTTGACTAGACCTCGTTAGTGATGAATCTGGCCCTGAAGGATGTGGTCGGTGGGGTCTGATTTGCCGTCGTACAAGGTGAATGACGGTGCTTTGAATTTCTTGGGTAGCACCGCCTTTGCAATCCATCGTACGAAGGGATCGTGTTGATCTTCGTCCGAACTGTGCCTTCTTCGCTTGTGCCTTATACGGGGACTTTCTTCAGAAGAACTGGTAGTTTCAGGCTGCCCCTTCTTCCTGGGCTCAGGGGATAATGAGTCGGAGCCGCTATCAGTGTCGTCTTGTCGGGCTCGAGGTCGTCGACCACCTGCTTGCAGAGATCGATCTGGCTTTAGGCGTACAGCTTGTTTGGACTTCGCCACTTCCAAGGCCAAATCTTCACGAAGACGTTCGTTCTCCGCGATCATGTTCTCCAACCTTTGTTCGTTTTGCTTTGCTTGTTCCATGATCACTTGCATTGCTTCATGCTCTGGAGTCGAGGGTGAGGCGAAGTTCAGAGCGCGTCTTACAGGGACGGTGTTCGGTCCAAGCATGTTTGATGGAGTGAGGTCATCTCTTTGCGTTGTTTCGTTAATGGCTATCGAAGAGTCTTCCGTCGCGCCCGCCATGGATGTATTTGAGTATTTCCATAGACGACGCCAATTGTGGAGAAGTGGTTTGGAAATACTCTTCTGATCCTGGAGGGAGCTAGTGATCCACTGATAATCACCTGAAAAGGAATAAACACTCCGGTCGGGGGTGCCAGAATTAGCACTCCGACGGACAAGTCAGTCTCCACGCTCAAGAATGCTTGTATTCTATGTTTAGCACAACAATTCTCACATACCTCTTTCTGGCTGATGTTTCTTCTATTTATATCTTTTCTTCTTTGGGCCTCGGGATTAGGTCCATTTCCCACCTCATATTCGGCACATTTTATAATAGACCGATCTTCACTTGGCCCCTTGTTTAATCGGTTATTTGGTCGAGTAAGGTTGGATTTGAGCTTTCGAGCCAATTGCCTAGTGCTTCAAATCTCGACTCTCTCAGATTCGACTATCCAGAATCTCTATGACTCCTAATTCTTCGGCCCCCACAAGTACAGTAGGTCTTAACAGACCGAATAGTCAGTTGATGGCCATCATAACAGTAAACAGTAGTAGTTCCAAATATTGAAACTGACAGAGATCTCTGTAACAGTAGCAGTAACAGTACAGTAACAGTAAATTGTTATGGATGCCACGAATATAGTTTACAAATAGGACAAACATTCATTCAGTAAGTAATGACATTTCAGAAAGTAGTATAATCAGTCGTTCGAAAATAGTTGTAATTGAACATATCTTTACAACATTGTTACTCACAGAGTACTGTGCTATAGGCAAGCTAATGAGCGTCCTCGAATGCCAACCCTACATAGTAACAGAATGAACACACACTAAATTACACTCTTGGGATTAATGACTTAGTCCCTTAACTTGACTTGGTGTGGTTCTACAACATTATCCTCATTAAGATGCCTTAAACTTGGCCTAGGAATGCCTAGGATGGAATGAGGATGCAAAAATGCACTTTAAAACACTTTTCAAAATTTGCTGAAAACAGGGGTCTCGCTTGAGCGTAGCTTTCTACGCTTGAGCGAGCTTTCCAAAATAGTGGGGTCGCTCGAGCGTGGACTTCCTCGCTCGAGCAGTCTGTAAAAATGCAAAAAGTGCTGGATGTTGAAAATCCCCGCTCGATGCTCGCTCGAGCGTGAGACACAACTCTTCGCTCGAGCGTAGGTCTCGTCGCTCGAGTGTGCGTCTGCGTGCACCAAAAACCTGAGAGCTTGCAATCTACGCTCGAGCCAGCATTCCGTCGCTCGAGCGGAGCTTTGAACAAAACGATGGTCGCTCGAGCGTGGAATCCTTCGCTCAAGCGTAGAAGCGAAATCTGGAATTTCCAGATTTGCCTTCAAAGCTCAAACCAAGCATTTAACACATCAAAACTCAACCTTTTGGGCCAATTTTCTGGAAAACACTTACAAACTCATACTACAACATGTTTTGAAGATCAATTTTGTAAAATCAAGCCCAAAGGTGAGACAATTGAACACAATTTCAAAGAAACCTCCAAGAATAAAACTTAAATGCAACATGCATGATCTCCCTTGAATTTGAACACTTCAAACCAAGATTAAACTGGCAATTTGATAGAGAGACATGGTGAATTCATGGACTACAACAAAAATATGAACTTGCATGTGAGGATTTCATGAAAAACAACTTCAAAATGCTATGATATGAACATGCATGCATGAATTAACTCTCAATTTAACACATTAATGTAATCCTTGATTCAAATCACTAATCTACCTATGAACCATGCAAGAACAACTTAAATTCACAATTAAGAAGATGAATTCTCTACCTTAGGTCTTGAATTCCAAGTATAGAGGTCTAATTTTGCAAATCTTCTTCAATCCTTCTAATTTCAAGCAAGAATTCTAGATGAATTCAATCTTTCTCCCACTTCTCTCTCTCTCACGTTGGTCTAGGAAAGTGGCTGAATGGTGCTAAACAAGGTGTATGAATTAAGTCTCAAGATGTTGTATGAAAGTGGCCCACTAATGGCAATTTGGTAGTAAAAGCCAACTAATGTAATACAACTTTATTTAATCTAATTTAATCATTCTAAATTGAATTTTAATTAAACCTACCATAAAATCACATAAATCCTAATTAGCATAAAACACTAATCAATTTCTGATTCGGTCGCCGATAAGGCCTTTAATTTGCAATTCAAAATTAAAAACATGAACAAATCATTTAATGACAAACAGATAGAAATGAAACTTTGGCAACACACTCATACAAATAGATCAGGATTTCATTCTAATCAGTTACTTATCATGCTCAATCACAGTTTAACACTAATCAGAGGTGATGGTTGTCATAGAGAGAGAGAGAAGCAGTTTAGTTAGGGTTTGATTTGAGAAATAATATATATATATACATTGGTAGTTTGGACATTTTGTGGGAGCTTGTCCTTATGAATAAAGTATTTTAGAGTGTGGACATAGTATTTTAGAGTGTGGACATTTGGAAATTCAAAATTGAATTTATTAACTGAGTGCCCTAATTTTTAACCTAATTTCTTCATTTAATAACATTTTAAATTAAATTATAGATAGAAGAGGACATTTAGGGTATAGGGTTAGGTTTTGGTTAGGAATATGATTTCATTTGGAGAAAAAGATGAAGATGAGAGTATTTTTGATATTTGATCGAATATTTTACTTTGATTTGGAATTTTTGTATTGTTCACTCTCAATTTGGGAGTGGCGTACTTCAATCTCAATTTGGAAGAGAGAGATGGAGAGAGAGAGAGAGAGAGAGAGAGAGAAGCAGTCTAGTTAGGGTTTGATTTGAGAAATAATATATATATGCATTGGTAGTTTGGTCATTTTGTGGGAGCTTGTCCTTATGAACAAAGTATTTTAGAGTGTGGACATAGTATTTTAGAGTGTGGACATTTGGAAATTCAAAATTGAATTTATTAACTGAGTGCCCTAATTTTTAACCTAATTTTTTCATTTAATAACATTTTAAATTAAATTATAGATAGAAGAGTAGGGTCTAGGGTTAGGTTTTGGTTAGGAATATGATTTCATTTGGAGAAAAAGATGACGATGAGAGTATTTTTGATATTTGATCTAATATTTTACTTTGATTTGGAATTTTTGTATTGCTCACTCTCAATTTGGGAGAGTGTGGCGCACCTTATGTTATTTTTAGTAAAAAATAAGACTGTAGTACTTTAGTCTAAAATTGTAAGAGAGTTCCTATATATATATGAATTATAGGAAGGTAAAGTAATTTGAGAAAGGGAATTTTGTTGCATTTTTTTTATACTCACTAATATAGAATTAATGTATTTATACTATTATTTATATAAATATATATATTTATATATTGTTTAATATATAAATAATATATTTATTATATAATTTAAATAAAGATAAACAAGATAAGATTGATGAGCTTATTCGAGTTTGAACTCGGCTTGTTTACTAAACAAGTGTAATATTAATTTGAGCTTGAGCTCTGCTCATTTACTAAACTAGCCAAGCTGAGCTGTTAATGAGCCGAGCCGAGCCTATTCATGAGCAGTTTGGTTCATTTGCAGCCCTAGTCACTATCTTATGTGAATTTTGTGGATGATTTTCTAATTTTTTCTTTTTGAGCATTTATTCATAAATTTCTATTCACCAACTTATATTCCACTTAGTTCAAATTATTTTTTTATATTTCAATAAGTCTTATAGATGACATAGTTATCAAAATATCCCTAATAATAATATTCACATCGACAGTGTGAATATTCCGTGATATGAACATTCATACATCAATGTGAATATTCACATTCTTAAAATATGAATGTTTACATCATTAAGTTTCTAATCATTTAAAAAGTATTTGTAAGAATAAAATTGTTTCATATAATATTTTAAATATGAGAATTATGATTTGGTGGATCAAATGTTCAAATATCAAGACTTATTGAAATAGAAGAATATGTTATGGACGAGGACTAAATCTCTCTCTCTCTTTGTTTTTTTTTTTTTTTTGGTACATGGAAATACTCCAAAATATTTTATCATGGTTCTTTTCAGTAATGATCCTATGTTTTTTATACTCACTATCTTATGTGAATGTTGTGAATGATTTCTAATTTTTTTTTAGTACATAGAAAGACTCTAAAATACTCAAACACGCATTAATATGTAATAATTGAGTATTATTTTTATTAGAAATGTTGTGAAATATTTTATTATGGTTGTCTGTTCGGTAATGATCCAGCAGTCAGTAATTGATATAAGGAAGGATTGGTATCCATGGAAGATCATTGCATTATTACACCACAGATTTGTGAGATGGACATGGAATAGCTTCATTTTTTTTTTCCTACTATAAAAAGGACGCATAGCATCCGAGGGCCTTGATTATGGGAAAATCAATTGTCGGTCAGATTTAACCTAACTCATAGGAAGAGACTAATCACCGGAACACACAATAGATCTCACCCATATGCCACAACAAGAGGTAGAGTCTCAATCGGAGTACAACACAATAAACGGAAGTTATTCTAGCCTTGCTCTTCCGTGTGGAAAGCAGATGCATTATCCACTTGGCCATCACTCCCGATTGTTGACATGGAATAGCTTGCCAAGAGATATTGTGCAACAACGATAGAATTATCATTTTTTTTTCCTATCATAATCTATTTATTATTTTATGTAGCAACACTCATTGATTTAAAGACACCCATCACTCATACTTGTTGTAAACACAAATTTTGTATCTTGCAATTAAGACACGAAATAAATGTACAAAATAATTAATTTTATTGATTATAATAAATGGGTACAATTCTCTATAGTCTGCTCTATTACAAAGAACAAATCCTCTGATTCGATCTCCAAAACGGCTGTAAAAGTTTGTTGTTGAACTAGACAAGTTAATGAATTTCTTCAAGTCTTCGAATGGAGAAACTTGGAGAAGAAAGGCTTGATCGAGAGCTTGAACGGCTTGATCTCGAATGAGTCTTGAAATGATTTCTTTGAAAAGAGAGATCAAATTTGTATTTGTAACTTGAAAGAATTGACACAAATTTGGAGTGCTTGGTAATCTTTTCTTCTAAGTTTGAAGAACTTTAGAGAGAATTTGGCAAAGTCGAGAGATTGCTTAAGAGTTTGCAAGACCATTAGCTAAAGAATGTGTCCTTCTCCTCATGGTGAGAGCCTCTATTTATTGGTTTAGGAGAGAATGATCAATTTCGGAAACTCCAAAATTGCTTTGAATTTCCAAGAAAACAACAATTTATTTATTAATTTATGGACATGATTTGCATTTAAATTTAAATTTGAATTATTCCACTAAATTTTGATAAAATATTTTCATCGGCCCTACACATTTGGGTTGACCCAATTGACAAAATAGATTCACTTTTCTTTTAGTGTGACCCATAATTTAAAATGAGTTAAAATTCATAATTTTAGTAGGACCCATATCTATTTGAAAATTTTAACCATCTTAATTTTGACCAATCAATAAAATTTATTTCTTTGATTAATCAGATAATGATCAAGACACGTGCAAATTTAAGTGTCTACCCTTATCATCACTGTACTCCTGATAAATGAAATAGTAAAAGGGTTAATTGTACCTATAATTTCGCTGTGATATTAGTTTGACTCATTCGTTTTTAATTGTGTCCATCAACATTTTTTACTTTTAAGTCTAGTTGTAACATTATCCTTCAGTCCATCTACCATTAATAGATGTGATAAAAATTGTCATGTGAACTAAACATGACATTTTTTTGTCACATTAATGCCCTTACAATTTTATTAAAATCTCACTTTTGTTCTTGTATTTTCTCTAGAATATGATTTTGGTCCTATCATTTTTAATTTCTTTTGTCAATCTCATTGACGGTAGATTACCCTTATACTTTCATCAAGATCTCACTTTAATCTTTGCACTTTCACTAAAATTTTACTTCGATCCTTTCATTTTTAATTTTCATCAATCTTGTTAATGGCATACTTTGTTTGGTTTTAGAGTTTTTAAAAACAATGTTTGAGTTGTCAATCTGAGTCTTTAGTTTTTAGTCGGTTTTTTTAATATTTCAATCAAATAGGTTTACATTTTAAATTTATTTAATTTAGATACACTTATAAAATTAATATAAAAACTCAATATGTTTTCATTTTTTTTTATATTTATTAAAGTTTTTTTTTCTGAAATATTTATTTGTAAGTACATTTAGATTAGTTGCATCTGAAAAATAAAAATAAAAACTTGACTACCATTTAAAAAGTTCACTAAAACGATAAAGTATCAAAAATAAAAGAGCAATGGTAGAGGGCCACAAAAAGTGTGGCTCAAATGGCTTAAAACTGTCAAAACGACGTCGTTTTAGGCATAAAACAACGCAAAATGATATCGTTTTGACAATTTTTGAGCCATTTGAGTCACACTTTTTGTAGCCCTCAAACATTTTTCAAAATAAAATACTCAAAACCACTAAATTAAAGTGAAAGGAATTTCTGGTCACAATTGAAAGTGAAACGACTAAATTAAAATTATAGTGAAAATACAAATATGTTAAGCATAATTAATCCAATAAAAATGTAGTCATTATAATATTAATGACATTCAATATTTGAAAAATAAGTTATGCTAGGGAGGATAAATAAATTATTAATTTTTTATCAAATCTCTCACTGAGATTCACACCCATATAATTTATGTACGTCTCACACCCATATAAAATGTTTAATAAAAAATTTAATAATTTATTTAGATTCATAATATTTTCCTTAAAAAATAAAGACAGAGAAAGAGAGAGAAAAGCCTAAGATTTAAAAATATTTTACAGTTCAGCATTTGGACAATAACATCAGTATTCAGTACTAGCGCCCACGACATGATGATGAATACAGATATATCAGACAAGTCAGGGGACATGGAGATTGAATAAAACAAATCACCCTCCACAAGTCCCCCACTAGCATCAGACAGACCAGACCAGACCAGACCACCACCCAACATCACTTGCAGAGAATGTTGTCCCTCCCTCCCTACTTTAAAAAAATTCTACAGGAGCTTTGCATATTTATCATATCTTCATTCCCAAACACCCCCAAATTAAATAAAAAGAAAAAAAAAAAAAACACAATTCAGTTAATGGAACTCTAATGAGAGATGGGTTTCTTGTTAGTTGGTAATCAGAATCTTCAAGAGAGGGAAGAAACTAGAGGAAGTACCTGTGAAGAGCTTGAATGGTGTTGTGATGTACTGTGATGATGACGGGGATGATTGAGCTCTCTCTCTTTGTTCTTAGCAACAATGAGTGTGATAAAACCGCCATTCTCTTCATCCTTGAGAAACACAGATGTTGAAGGAGCTATATTAGCCCCTTCTTCCTGGAAAACCCTACGAATCTTATGAACCTTCTCCCTCTCAGCTTCTTCCATCAATTGTTCTCTTCTGTGAAGCTTGTCCTCAGCATCCTTCATGAACTTGAACTTTGGGGGTGGTGACAACAATCTCATCATATTGAACTCTGCATCAGTAGATGATTCAAATAGAGGGTTGAATCCATGGTGGTTGTGTGAGGAGTCCATAGGGGTAAGTGGAGGAGTGAAGTATGGTGGTGAAGCAAGAGGGGTCAAAAATGGAGTCTCAACTGTCAAAAGCAGATCACTTAAGCTTCTTCTACTTCTTGACCCTTCTCTAGACTTTCCATCTTCAGATTCCAAATCTTCCTTTGTTTCTTCTTTGATGGTGAAGAGGAATCTTGGTGAGCCAGAGAGGTTTTGCAGCCTCATGGGCTCAGTCTCTGCACCTTCCTCTTCAAAGGGTTTGTTAGGCAATAAGTCCTCGTTTGGATGGGAATGAAGCCGAGATTGTGGCTCATGGACATGGGTATCTGAGGAACATAGTTGTTGAGGATTCAGAGCTGTGGAGCTTAAAGATGATGGTTGCTTCCAACAGAACATGTACAAGAATTCTCTTGCTGGGCTGCTATAATCATCTTCAATCTCTCTGTTTGTGATCCTCTTCTTCCACCATAGCAAGTAGTAAAGCTCAGCAACAAGAGCTAACACAAGGCACCCAAATATAAGACTCAATGCAAGCCCTACACTGCTCAAAGATCTCATCTATCTATCTATCAAATTAAATACCTCAAAAACTACTTTAAAATTCCCAAATTTCTCAAGCCCACCAACAAAACCAGTAGCTATACCAAGGATTTCTGTAGTCGTTTGGTGTGCAGGAAAAAAAAAAAAAAAAAAAAAAACAAAGAGCAAAACATCAAATCAATTGGAACTACAGTGTATTTAGAGCTATTAGAACTCATTGTTTTAGAGCTCTTAAACAATTTATTAAGAGACCAGGATAGAGAATGAGGACAAGAAAAGGAGATAAGGGATTCCAATGGCTGTAAATCTTCTGTCTTTCACAATACATAGCTACTTTATCAGTGCATATGATCACTGTATCCAAAACAAGCACCGGCTCAAAACAGTCCTTAAGAACACCCCCCCTTTCACTGAAAATCACAATCTTAAATCATGATGTATGATTGCTATCAACCATACATATCTACCTTTCTATTTTTAATTTTTAATTTTATTTTTTTATTTTTTCACTTGAAACCCACAACATGTAAGCTACTCAAAATGTGGATAATCTTTTTTTTTTTTTTTTTTTTTTTTTTTTTTTTTTTTTGAAGAATATCAATGTTTATTGTGAAATATAAAGAAACTAGAACCACAAAAATGTCTCATTTGGGCCTATAGAAAAGTTTCATTTTCGATTTTTAAATCAATGATGCTACTTATCAGGAAAATGTATTCAAAAAATAATGAGAAATTTTTTTTTTTTTGGGTAGATTTCTAAAAAAATTCTTCTAATTTTATCCCGATGTGCCAACTTTTAATTTGTTACAAATTCAATCATATAAAACTCATAACCTTTGTGATGTCATTGTCAATGAATTGTGAGCTTTCGGCTGTTGATTTATAACATTTTTCACGATAAAATAAAATATATATTAGATTCATACATATTTTTTGCACACTACATAGTATAATAAAATGAATATTTATATATACCTATATATTTTTTGCACACTTTTGTAAATATTTTTTTTAAAGATTTCACATTTCCATTTTTAAAAGCTGAAAACCTATGTGCAACCCTGTGATTAGCCCTATTTGGTAGAGCTGTGGGAAAGTGCTTATAGCTTATGCCTAAACAGCTTATAGCTTATAACTTTCAGCTTAAGCTGATTTCCAGCTTATTCTTAAAGCATCTCCTGCCCCACTTAAAGAATAAGCTGATTTCTGAATTTCACAAAGCTATAAGCTATAAGCTAAACCAAACACATCAAAATAGCTTAAATTAAGCTGAAAGCTGAAATAAGCTGTAAATAATTTCTGCCAAACAGGCACATTGTTATAAATTTTTGTTTAGAGTTAGTTGATAAGAGGAAACAGTAAAAAGGAGAAACTTTTAATTACATGGTGGTATAATCCAAACTTGGACATCACACCAAAAAGAGACTAGTTTTAGAAAATTGTTATACGAATATATATATATATATATATATTATAAATTGCTTTCTAGCCAAGCTCTACAGTTACCTTTACTGAAATTTAGCTGGAAGCTGAGCTGTCTGTGAGGCTGTTGCTGAGTGGCTGTTGCTGTCAGGATCATGCCCTGCTGTCTGAACTATGAGGCCATTGTTCAAGCTCTGCTGATATGAGGACATTCAAGGCAAGGTGTTGGTCTTGTTTGTTTGTTTCGGGGCAAATCTGCACTATGCTATGCTGTCTGGCTGGCTGCAACTTCATCTCTATGCTCTATCCTCTTCTGGCTGTGTGGTCTGAAAGGTGGCTTCTCCATCCTCTCCCATCTGCTGCTATGTGTTCTGTCCCAGCTGCCGTGGGAGTTCTGTTTTGCTGATACATTTTTAACTCTGGATGCTTTGCTGCTATATGACTATCTTTGGGGTGTTGGGCTAGTAGTAGTTCTCAATCTGCTGTGGTTGGTTGGTTCTTCTTCTTCTTTCTTCTTTTTTCTGTTGGTCCCTCACCAACTTTGGGGTGCTAGCAGATGATAGGGTGAGCTCTGTGGTGCCAACCTAGTTGGGATCATTTAGCTCTCTGTGATGCTTTTGCACTTCTCTTTCCTTTATTGATGTATTTTATCTTGTACCTTGTACTTGTTTATTTCATCAATAAAGTTTTTTTTTTGCCGATCAAAAAAAAAAAATTGCTTTATAACCTAGGGAAAATTAGCAATACATTCTCCTAGAGTTTGAGTAGTTGGAGAGATTCAAAATAATTTTCGTTCCTAGTTAAGATCTCTTAGTGTTATTGCATCTTTTACATTGTTTAAGATCCCTAAGTGTTATTGCATCTTTTACATTGTTTAAGTGATTTCAAAACTTTAAAATTTAATAATTTTTGAGTTACATTTTTTGTAAAATTTATATTTTTAGAGTCCCATTGACAAGATATTTCAAATAAGATTCATTAGTAAAATGAAATTTTGAAACAAAAAATTCATGAAATTTCATTAGCTCATTGATTTGGTCATCGAAATTTTACTGACCAGTTAAAATTTTTTCAGCGAAATTTTACTGACTTGGTTATCGAAATTTTACTGACCAACCAAAATTTCACTGACTTAGACTTGGTCTTCGAAATTTCACTAACCAACTGAAATTTCACTAACCCGTCTTAGGTCAGTGAAATTTGTCAACTTTTTTTTTTAGAAATTTGTATTCATCATAGATCTTGATGAAATGATTCAAAGAGTATAAATTATATCTATCTATCTATCTATATATATATATAAACAGAAATCTAGATCAGTCACCATGTGTTTTGGAGGATCTAAACGAATATAGAAAATTGTATTATACTTATCTTTCTAAGAAAATATTACTAGCGACCTTAAATTAAAAATCCCTACAAACTAATGTGATAAAAGTTTAATATTTTAGAAAGTAAATTATACTCATTTTTTAAATTTTTTTAATATTTTTTATGTTTGAGAAAAATATAGTTCATCTCATAAATTTGGCATAATTATGTTGGCATCTGTTTTAATAAGATTAAAATTATCAAAATTAATGTACATAATAGGTATAGACTAAAATAAACAAACTTAAATATAAATTTTAGAAAAAAAAGATATGTCAATATCATTAGGGGTGTGCATGGTTCAGTTTGAATCGACTTGGAATAAAATCAAGATCAATCCATTGTCTTCGGGTTCATAAAAATTGAAATCAAAACAAACCATTTGAACAAAACCATTTATACACCGTTCGGTTTGGATCTATAGTTTCACATAACTTGTTAACAAGAAAAGTCATATAACATTTTCTAAAAAATTTAATCTATCATAAATTTTAAAAATAATAATAGCATATCCATCAAATAAACTACTCTAATAATATTATACAATTAGGCAAACATTATTAGAGTGGGGCCTACATAGTAGTTTATTTTTCGAAACATAAATTTTCAAAACATAATTAAACACGCACATCATTCCACCATTAACTTAAATAAACATAATATCTAGCTAATAAGCACATATGGTTTAAGTTATATGATTCGGTTTGGTACGGTTCAAATCCAGAACTGATTTGCAAAAATCGATTCCTCAATTTTTCAAATCAAAATTGAATCACCAATTAAAAAAAACTAAAACAAACCTACTACATTGGTATGGACCAGTTCGATTTGCGAATTTTTTTTTTTATTTCCTTGTTCAGTCCTAAATATCATCTTTTGATCTATATAACTCATGAATTATTGATAAAATGACTTAAATATTATGTAAATTAAAACCTCAAATAAAATCAATATAATTGTGTCAAAAATAAAAAATTATTTATATTTTCATCAAATTTCAATAATAATGACTATAATTTATCTTATTTTAAATTTTATTAAATATTTTATTAAATATCTTATATGAATGTGAGACCACAATTCTATGTAAGCCAAACACGGACCCTTGATAAAATATTTAAAATTTTAAAAGATCCATAAAATTAAATGATAAATATAATTCATTGCCATTCACCAAAACTTGCACCAAAGCAGGCAGCCTAGAAAACCCAAAGGAGGAAAAAGTCGGCTAGTCCTACACAATATTTTTTGGTTGAGAGGTCGCATCTCACGAGGGATACTCACATGGGATCACATGCAAAACAAATGGGTAATTTACACCGATACCCCCTCAGGTTTGCTTTTATTACAGATTCTCCTTGAAGTTTTATAAATTACACTTAACTTCCTCAGATTTAAAATCATATTACAATTTTCCTCCTCTGTCAAGTCTCTGTTAGATGAACAAACAAATTTTGATGACATCACCAATAAAAATTGTCATAATACCCATTTTAACCTTAATAATCAAAATCCAAATCTAAAGAATCAGAGTGTCAAAGAGGGAGGAAAGAGAAGGAAGAGAGTGAACAAGCAGTTATTGGACTATCATTGGATTGCTATGGAGGTCGATGAGGGTAGGGGTAGGTTGTTGGTGGAGAAGGTGTGGAAGAGTGGGGATGTCGGGGCAAGGGTGGTCCAGAAGCAGATCTTAGTCAGTGATTGTCTTCCCTTTGGTTTTTATTTTTAGTCATCAAATCTAGCAGTGGAGCAACAAATGAGATTATGGGTTGTGCAATGATGGTCATCACCAACATCTGTTCTCTAGTATCACTCCCCTTACAGGAACATTTGGTTGCTCCATTCAACAGTGGGTTGGGACTCAAGGCTTAGAGCATCCCCATCTGTTTACTTAAATTTTATCTTAAAATATTATTAAAAAATTCATTCTCTATTTTAAAACACTTTTTCATCTATTTTTACCAACAAATCTCCTATTTTTTCTCTATTTTAATAAGAAATTATTTTTAATTATTTTATATTTTATATTTTTGGAGATAGAGATGCTCAAGAACCAATAATGGTTGAGTAAAAAATAATTTTATATTTTTGGAGGGTGAACAATTGCTTCCTACATTTGGAGAGCAATTGTAGCATTTTGCTGTTAGGTTTCATGAAAAATCTTTCATGAAAATAATCATGAAAGCTTTGTGACTCTTTGATTACGCTTAGAATAAAGCACCACACACTAATCAAGGTAATCCAAGGATCATAAATCTTTTATGATTATTTTCATGAAAAAATTTTCATGATCCATAACTTTTCTCTTTTTATAATAGGGAGTTGCTTTGGCAGAGTTGATGGGGTTGATTTTTGAAGAAAAATTACTTAAAATAGGTAAGGGATATATTTAGAAGATCCAATGGGGATGCTCTTAGAGGATCTCCACTAGTTTACCTCAATTTTATCCTAAAATATTATTAAAAAATTCATTCCTTATTTTAGGAATCATTTTTTCATTTATTTCCTCCAACTCTCCCTATTCTTTCTCTATTCTATTAACAAACTCCCTATTTTTTTTAATAATTTTTAATTTTTAATTATAAATTTAAAAATAATAAAAATTATAAATATGTACTGCAGTCCCTAAACAAAGTAAAGCAAAATATATATATAAGGGAACTACAGTGACTTTTTTATAAATAAGGAGCCACTATAGCAAAAACTAATTTAAAAAACCATTTAGGAAAGCTGATGCAGTGTATAGGGAGCCATTGATCCCTTAAAATAGGGAAGGAAGAGCTTTAAGGGTTTTGGTGGGGCTGCTCTTAGACCAATTGAGAACCTCAAATGCCACAACCAGATTGAAAATATACAAGTATTGTGATGCCCAACTTCTGGGCTCAATTAATTACAATCCATTTAAATTTAATAAGGTGGGTAAATTACAAATACACTCTTGAGATTTTATTAAAATACGAATCATTTTTATAGTTTTAAAAATTATATTTTACCTCCTAAGGTTTCTAATTTCATAGCAAATTGCCACTTTTATCAATAAATCATCAAGTTAATTAACAGTTTTTAATGATATTAAAAATATGTTTTAATTAATAATTTAGGTAATTTTATTATTATATAGGAGAGTAATTATAAATTTTATTTTTTCAGTTAATTTTTTTAAATAAAAAATTCTAATAAGGGGATATTTGTAATTTTTCAAATCACAGGGACCAATTTATATTTTAAGCAAACCCCAAAGAATGTATTTATAATTTACCCATTTAAGGTACTTGGGTATTAAAAGATTCTAGAAAATCATTGATTAATTCCATCCATAAGATCTAATAATCTTACATCACGTTGTCTCAATATTACAAATTCAAAAGTTGTAAATATTACATTAGAATAAACAAAAGATAATATAAGGGTTCACTAATTTTGATTCCTAAGTGAATTATGGTTGTACATCGACATCTTCTTCATCTCGTATTCATCATTAACCTTATTACATAGCATAAAATGTCAGGATAATACAGAGAAAGTCATGAGTAGTAACGCTTAATAGAGAAAACAGGAAACTAACCTTATAGCTTTGAAATGAAACATACGATCTCAACAAGTATGTAAATAACATAACGGAGGCAATCATAATGATACATTAAAAACCTAAAGCAAAATAATATCATCATAAGTTTCAATCATCCCTAAGGTTTATTTTCTAAGTTTATCTAGACAATTCATTGTGGAATGTCATCCCTACCCATCCCTTAAGTAGTGATCATGTAGCTTACTCAGATTCCCCTTTGGTATATTAGAACAAACTGGTAAATACCAAGGATGTCTACGCACTAAATTACGTATAACATCATTGGTCTGCGCCAAGAGAATGGCCTTCTAGGGATACATTCCTTGTATGAGACCCTCACTGCCACCCTTATACCTCACTAAATCCGTATAGAAGTCAGAAAACAACTCATGCCATCTTAGGGTTTTGCGACACTTCTTGTACAAGATTTTTCAACCAGGACCATGCCCCGAATCAACATCCCAACATTTTCATATTCTTTACCATTTCATAACTATCCTATTTCATGATC